ACGAGATTGCATTTCCCAAATTTTACACATCTCTGAAGATGAAGCCAGATGCCAACAAGTTCCGGTTTCAATAAAGGGTACCCTGATAGAGGAAATCACACCAGCTCACTATGTTGGTATATTCCCAAAGCCAACAAAAATATCTACTGAATGTTCCACTCCCGGAATGCAGGAATTGCACGGCACCTACCTTATAGAAGTGCCTCCAGGATGCGGATTTGAGACACCTGAAGCCAACTACATCAATTCCAAGGGCTTCACATACGAGCAGCCCCTAGCCTTGCCAAAAGTCCGAACAATTTCAATACCACATGAGAAGAAGATGCTACCTATCCAGCTAGAAAAAATCCCCTTAGATGAACTTCACAAAATTCACGAACAAAGCCTATTGCAACCCCTAGGTTTTGAGGATATTCCAGTCGATAGTACACACTTTTGGACTACCCCTGTATTCATAATTGCTACAGCGGTAATTGGAATTTTGGTATTCAAATTCCGTCACACCCTACGATGCCAGAGGATCTCTGAAACACCACCAGTACCAGCTACCAGGACTCAAGTTTTATTCCACCCTCATAAAACTTCTTCAGGGGATGGAGAAGTTACAATCTGAATCCACGGAGAATCGACAAGGTTCATGATGGGTCAGCGATACTCGACACCGCTGACGAAGATGAACTTGCATTTTTATTCCTATGAGAATTTTCATTTTTATATTCAGTCTGACTTGATACATCCTTATTGTAACACGTGTTTTTGAATAAAATAAACTTTTTAAAAACTTATTTTTCGAAAACCAACTCTTAACTCGTAGGACCTACGTTTGATACAACTTTTTTCTGTTAGTTATGAAATTTCGCAGTTTACTATAGCGTAATCAGTTTTGTGGTGTATGCCCAATTTGGTTGTATAGTGTTACTCATTTCATGTCTTGTGGATGGATGGATGGATGGATGGATGGATGGATGGATGGATGGATGGATGGATGGATGGATGGATGGATGGATGGATGGATGGATGAATGGAACTCGAAAGATGTTTTTTTTTTTAAATTTTGACATATGCAGAGTTTCAAAATCATCAGGAAAATAGTTTTACAAGTTGAAATCCAAAGAGTCTTTTGTAATCAACTCAAACGATAGCGGTTTGTTCGAGTTTTGCATCATAGTCATGAAGGTCTGAATGTCCAAATAATGAAGTTTTTTTTATGAATTTCCATCTATTGGTACTTTTTATCCTCAAGTTTTTCCTATAACATTCCGTCAGAATCCAACCAACATCCAACAAAATATTCCGCGAAATGAATTATTATCGCTCCAAACGCATAACTGAAGGTTTACATTTCGCAGTGGCAATTAATTGAAATGGTGTTTCAGAGGGTTGCGATTATTCCTCAGAATTACCTCCGTCCGTTGAAGCCTTAATTGAAAACACGAACCACTTCTGGTCAAATTTACGATTACAATTATGAGGGAACATAACTTGGCGGATATCACCCAAAACTTTGAATAACATTCATGAAGACGAAGATGTTTCCGCTGAACATGGAGTATAGCTTATTTTTGACGTACTTTGAAGGTTATTGAAACTGGGTATTCATACTTTATGAATATTATAAAAATCATAAACATGATTCATAGGGATAGGGATCATCCTGAATCTTACTAGATCATTGTGAAAAGATTGTGTTACTCCTTCATCCCCCATTATTTTTATTTGAAAGGCGTGCTTTTAAAGATATAGGAGTTGTAATTTTCGCTTTCTGAAAAATTCTGAAATAGTCCAGAATATTCAAAAGCATCACACAATATTCCAGAACATTCAGCAACATACTAGACTATTGTAGAACGATAGAGGAAGTTATATGGTGTGATAACACATTATTTTCCAGTCAAGAAAACTTTTTCGTTTAGCAAAACCAACGCATTCTCAACTTTTTTTCTCATCACATGTGTCGCAGGCTGCTTGAATTCATTTTCCCCCGAGATAATTTCAATTTTGCTATAACTTTCAAGACAGTGATTTGAATTGTATACCGTAAAATGTAGAAATAGTAATTAATACATCGGTGGCAACAGTATGGGAAACCTTCAGGTAGTTTTTGAATGCAGAAAAAGACAGAGTTGATGTGGTTTTTCATACGTAGATGCATTGCGAATATCTGGCTCATTGAAATACAAAAAAAAAATAACTCCACTCATTTCAATATGAATATCTTTTAACCTTTTCCTGTTGTAAATAAAAAATAGTAGACAAGACCCTCTTCTTTTTCTGTTTCTAATCTGGCCCCAATCATGATAATTATCGAACATGTCTTATCTTCCGCATATCCAGGATTCCATTGATTCACTACACTTCAGTGGTTATCCATTTACATCAGTTGAGACTTGCCTGCTCGCATATCTCAGAAGTTTACCAGGAGAGCTCTAGGAGAAATACTTGAGCAAATTCCACTATAATGCGGTTTTCATATTATGTAAATCTAATACTGAAGTCATGAAACATGATAAACGCAAATGGAAACTGTCACGTTTCGAATGGATCTGAAGGGAAGTGGATTTTATTGTAGATGCAAACCTGTTACGGCTTCTCTCGTTATTAATATCACATGTTGACGTGAAACAGTATATCCCTATACTCACTTAACCATTCATGAATCCAAAATTAGGAACCTGAAGACACCGTTTTCTTTGTTTGCAGTATTTTCCGTGATTGCTGTGTTGCGATGCAAAGACTTACTAAAAAATATTCTTTCAATAAAAGTAAATGGAAATATTATTCAGATAATGAATGATTTTTAGACTGCTTTCTTAAGATTCCAACTTGATTCTCAAAATTTCTACTTTCAATTGGAATTTTGACTTCAAATAGAGATCTACTTTGAATTCTGAATTCCGACTGATTTGACTGACTGACTAGGTAACTGACTGACTGACTTACTGACTAACTGGGTGAATCACTGACTCACCGACTGACTCACCGATTGACTGACAGAGGGACTCATTGACTGACTGACTGATCGACTGACATACTGGCTGACTCGCCGTTTTACTTACTGGCTGACTGACTGATTAACTGTCTTCCCACATCAAAGTTTCGACTCTATATTGAAAAAACGACTTTAATTCTAAAAAGCCAACAATGATTTATACAATCGCGAGTTGCAATAAATATTATACTTTTCATGTTTTTGAATGCGCCTTGTCTTGATCTATCATTACCAGTTTGTTTCACAATATTAACGAAATTTCAAAATGTTACCAATTCAACAATAAGCCATCGACCCCACTAACATTGCAAGTACTAAACTATATCCATCCAACGAGATAAGCAACCCAAACAATGATAGATGTGTAATCAAAGCATGATCACCAAGCACAATTGCATCTATTGGGTAAAATAAACAAGCCTCCTTACGCTGGACAATCAGATTTGACTGCAATCGGCTGGCAGAAATCTTTGTTACAGTGTCGGAGTGGTCAGTTACGCTATAAAGCCTGTGGTGTGTACATATACAGTATTCTAAAATTGAAAATTTTTGAAATATCAGGTACTGATATGGCTGAAAAAACTTCAAATTTGTGTTCCTACTCTCCACCTAAAAATTCCTATACCCAGCCGCATATAATTGAAAAAAATGAAATAAAATTTTGGTCGTTCCTTTGTGCGATTCTGTACAAGTAGCCTTGTCTGGGAGATAACGTGTACTATGCATGATAATGTTTTGGAGCAATACGTTGCTTGATTGGGCCGAGTTTAACAGTTTATAACAGTCATCATCTCGTGGCTCCTGATGATAATAATAACCATTTTTGATGTATTGGAAATATAATGTTATAAGAGTACACTTGGGCTTTCGCTGCTATTCCAAATAATTCAAAGCCTTCGTTCTTAACTAGTCAGCAAAGACTATCCTCCTCTCTCTTTATATGTGTGTGGAGTTGCTTTCTCGGATGTTCATCTGTTGTATATCCTTCAAAAACCGACGTTTCACCATCATTTCAGGTGTCACCATCAAGACTGATTATCGCTAGTTCTTGAGTTACGTCTCACGAAGTCTTCTATGGTGAATTGGTTAACTAGATTTCATATTAATAGCAAACTTCACAAAAATCAAGAATTCAATAGAAATGAAAATGCAGGAAATATTCAGTTCTTTTGTCCTATCAATCCTGTTTCGTATTTTCCGAGTTCTATTGCAAAATGACACTGGCAAATTTAGTGCTATTGCGGCTCGGAAAAGTTTCACCATCAGTGGAATTTTTCGAGAGCCTGAATGATTGTTCTCAGAATAAACAAATCCAGGCAAAACAGCTTTCCCAAACTTTTAATTATCATAAATTTAGAGCTTTGCGGTGGTATGTGCAAGCAGATAGCGCGCCATGGCGGAAACTCTGTAATTTATACTTTAATTGAATTTGAATGTATTCAACCTGAAAGAGAAGTGTGACATTTTTTTCAGTTGGAAGTCTGTATTCAATATCGTCACCATATGGAAAAATAACTAACTAGGTAGAATCATATTTCAGGACTGGTGAATCTGTGAGATATACGGGGTATCTTCAAAAAACAAGGTGGGTGTTCAAATTTCGCGGGCTCCGTATATTCGATTAGCGATTTTTTTTCAAATTTTTAAATATTGGTACACTTATAGTCATGTAAAACTGAAATATGGCTGGTGCTCAAAATTATCTGATGGAGAAATAGGCAATCAGAATCTCCAAACACAAACGAAGTTTTGAATCGAGAAAACCAAAAGTTCCTCACTAGTTTATCGCTTCAGTGTACGTGAGAGATATTACAAAATATTAAGTAGCTCGTACGATACATGCCTCCGCTATCAGAAAACGTGCCTGACGAAACTCGAGCTTTATGATATGTCACCCTAACCATTTTCACCCCAAATGACGGTAATTTCATAGAAAAAATGGAGGCTGCTTCATATCCCTCGAGGTGGAAGTGCATGTAGGTTAGATTTACATACATATATACATCTGAAACGATTTCTCCAAGGAATTTTATGCAGAATATATGTATGTCATTTTACACACGTACAGGTCTGAAGGAAAAATATTCTGGAGAAGTGATGAGAAATAGGAAATAATTCATTGACATACATAGTTTTGATACAGTATTTGTGCCTTGCATTGAGTTGTTTCAAAAGTTTTCTCCCTTGCCAGCAAATACTCTTTTGTTTAAAAGCGACACATGAACTCTACAGGAATATTCTCAAGGCGCTCTTAGAGCGGTGCCTGGATTTGAATCGCTGAAGATCATCAAATTCATTTGGAGGAACGTTCTCAAGATGTTTATTCCAGATAAACGCCGTTCTTCAACTGAAAGTGTTCTCAAATTGTGAATTTCGAGGTGTACTGAGTTGAACCTTGAAAAGAAGAGCGGCCACAGTCCGTCGCGTATTTCTGATATGTACCACACTTGGTGGAATCAAATGTGCCAGGTCACTTGAACACCTCCCGTGAAAGTATCTATAGAAGAGAGACAAGTTTCCAACCTTTCTTCGATGTTCCAACTGTAAAGGAAAACAATATTATAACATTAAAACCTTGGCTTGCATGCCGTTATTTGAAAGTAACTGGAAAAAAAGTGAATTATTAGACAGCTTTTTTTGTACCTTGGGAGCTGTCTGACTTGTCCATTTATTCCAAGTCTCCAGCAAACACTGCAGCCTCTTGGGCTTATTGCGTTTTTTCTCCCATCTTCTCATGACACCCATTCCATCAGTCTCGTTCCCTGTACTAGTTTGTACAGGTTCCGTGTTGGAAGTTCGTCATATTCTTCTGGA